GTGTGTGTGTGTGTGTGTGTGTGTGTGTGTGTGTGCGCCTATGTGTATGTTACCCCAGCCTTGTGCCCTGTGTTTCCTGACATTGAGAGTTCAGGTCCCACCTCAGCCCTGACTAGGATAAGTGGTTGGAAGATGGATGGATGTGTTTTCTGACCTTTTCATCTTTTGAACTTCTGGAATGTCAGACTTGCTACTCATGTCTTTTCTTTTCTCCCAATAAACACATGAATGATTTCTAGCTCTGTCTTATTCCTCTTTTTCAGGTTTTCAGTGTAAATTAAGCAGCACCTTCCGGCTAATTCCGCTGTCTGAGGGTTCCCCTATAAAGGCTCAAGCTTCTTTCTCTGTGTGTGTGACTGGCTGCACTTCACACAAATCTGTAATCCCATCAAAATCCCATTGTTAGGATCTTCTATCCCATGTACTAAACTAGATGGCTTTGGATCTGGGACATGGGTAAACGCACTTTTGCTTAATATCTGGCATTAGCACTAAACGACTGTACTTTCAACTTTACTTTTCAGCCTAAAACAAATGTTATCTCTGTTCACCAAGAAAGTTCATTTCAGTTCCTATGGTTGATTATCCAGATGTTCATGTCACAATGTAAAAAAATAGTATAAAATTCATGTTTTTAATGAAGGAGTCACTATTGCAGAGGTGGCTGACCTTATCCACAAAGGGACAGTGTGTACACAGGTTTTTGGGGTAACCTTTAGGTCAGCTCTTCAAACCCAGGTGTGAGGACTCTTCAGCCAGTCTGTCCAGTAATTAGTAATCTAATTAGGGAGTTGCAGAGAAAACCTGCATATGCAACAGCCATTTCTGGATAAAATAAGCCACACCTGCACGATTGCAAGATCTCACACGCTCCACATCATGAACGAGACACTTGTCCAAACTGTACATGTGTGACTAGTGAGCGACCTCTGCTTGTGGGGAAGGTGGCTAAAGTTGTGATCCCTCTGGCACCGGCATCGCGGTAAAGGGCCTTGGCTCATTGTCACAGGGATCCTGTTTTCAGGCGGTATGAAAAGGAGGCACACGAGGGGGTGCAGGAGTAGAGCACAGCACAAAAACCAAACTGCTTGAAAAAATAAACAGGTCTCCAAGCAACTCCATGTTCTGATGGGGAACAGAAGAGGGCAGCACTAAGAGTCGCCTAGCAGCCTGTGCTTGGTGAGCTAACAGCGCAGGTCTGAAAAACACATTAGTTTAGATAGCTACTATTAGGCAGGAGGAACCAGTGGTGTCCCCCTACCCCGCTTGTAACTCTTGCGTAACAGAACTGTGATCATTAACGGGGAAGCATTTTCTCCGCACGCTGTCTTTGAGGGTCCTGCAGCTCCAGTTTCCCTCCACACCCGTCCTCGGACACTTCTAACTATGATTCTTCACACAGTCTTAGACTGTCTGGATTACCGGAGCATTCTGCTCTTCGTATTTGTCTTCTTGTTGATGGCTGATATCCTGAAGAACAGGAATCCACCAAATTATCCGCCAGGACCTTGGTCCCTGCCCTTTTTTGGAAATATCTTAACGGATCTGGAACCAAAAACAATGTTGAAGGTAAACATCTGCATTAGATCGTGTATCTAAATATTTGTAGTGTGCATGTTAGTAGTATATGCTGTATCCTAAACAACTCAAAGTTCTTGGAGTGAATCCCATGTTTTACCTTTTATGCTGAATAAATGATTAAACTGTCTACTTTGGTTCAGGCCACATATTATTAGGGGGAAAAAAACAGCAGATAGTATCTTAAACTTCAAACCTGTCTCAGTGGCATCCTGTATGAGTATTTGCATGTTTTAGGAGAGAAATTGGAGTTATTCCACAAGATATGGTCTCTTCACTCCTTCAGACCACTCCTTACATGGTTTGCATGTAATATAATGTTTTTATTTTCCTAATTAATGTTTCAGCTTGCTGAAAAATATGGCAATGTTTTCAGTCTGAGGAAAGGCCGCGAAAAAATGGTGTTTGTAGCCGGATATAAAATGGCAAAGGAAGCGCTGGTCACTCAGGGTGAAAATGTTGTTGACCGTCCAGATGTCCCGCTTTTTAGTAAAGTTTTTAAAGGAATCGGTAAGTATTTGTGGAATCTGAATGTCATAGTGTTCAAGTATATGCATAATGATAATGTATGCATGCATGTACATAACTGACTTTCACATAATTACTAATATACCTTACAGGAGCATACCTACAAATTCTGGCAAAATTTTGACAAAATGTCACCTTAAGCCTCCAAATTTTACAAATACTTTTACATGTTTAAGGCTCCCAGTCAAATGCTGGGCCCTCTGGATTTCCCAGGGTGCCTGTGCCCTGGGAATAACAGGACACAGGTGATCACAACCAGGAATTGACACGAGGTAATGAGGGTGCGTGGCACACACATTTACAGTATGTCCCACTAAGGCTACAAGAATTTTCATGATTTCTCAGGGTAGACCTATCCCTAACGGAAAATCAGATCTCAATGTACAAGTACAATGACAAATGAACAAGATGCAACAGTATTAAAAAATATTGTAGCACCAGGGAGTTGGCTCCACAAAGCGGAGCCCAGTAACAGCACGGAGTATACTGGGAAAATGTGCACATAATAGCTTGTTTGTGTAATTGCAAATACTTGTGTTTCCAATTGTCGGAATTGCCTTGCCTATGCCACGCATGAACTCTGTCTGATCCTCATTTGTCTTTAGCCTCTAAAAGCTACTAATGTTTAGGCAAAATTCACACGCTCCCTTACCCATGTTCATGCACACAGGTTAGTTAAGGCGCGCATGCCCTGAAGAATGGTTGGAGGAGAAATAAAAAAGATATGTGTGTGTTTGCACCTGACCTGGGTTTGCTGCCTTATCCTTTCTCGCCGCACTCCCCCTCCGCAAGCCATTGTGTAAATGACCCTCTGTGTGTGTGCCTTATTGTCAGGCATCTGACCTCCCTGCATTTCCCCTGTTTTATGTAAAGCTTAATAAAAAAATGTTCTTTCTCCTTTAAAACCATCCTTCTTGTCACTTGCTGCCACTGCGATGCCTCAGTTTGCCGGATGCTACAATGTCGTTTACCATCCTTATTTTTCTTTTTAAACAGGTGCTATATTTGTGTATTATTAACTTATGCTGTTGTCCTGTTCTGTTTTATTCTTGCGGAAGGCTTGATTTTCAGCAATGGATACATGTGGAAGAAACACAGGAGGTTTGCGGGAACCTACTTTAAGTACTTTGGGGAAGGAAAGAAGACAATGGAGCTGTCCATCCAGCAGGAGTGTGTGTTCCTCTGTCAGGCCATGGAGGACGAGCAGGGTGATTACAGAAATCCAAAGTAACATCCATCACCAATGCAGGGTTTCTTATCTCTCCTATTCTATTTCTCAGTTGGTTGTTATGTTTGTTCCTGTGTTGCTCCCTGTTTTAGTTCTTGTTGTCTACTTGCTTTATTTTTGACCCCTTGTGGTCCTTTGTTTCTGGTTTCTTTGCCTTAGATGCACTTTGTGGATCATCTTTCCATCATGTCACACCATAACACTCTGCTTTCAGTCAAAGTGGCAAATAACATGGCCTCATACATTAAATGTGCACCATCAATTATTGCAATAGGTTATTGGTAATTATTTTCATATACTGTGTTCATTTTTCTCTGTTTTTCCCATAGTTGCATGTTTTAAGTGTTTTTTTCTTTCTTCTTAACTTTTGAGGCGGATACTTTAATCCAATGGTGATGCTACACAATGCCGTCTCCAATGTGATATGTACTCTGGTTTTGGGGCATCGCTTTGACTACAGTGATGCCAAGTTCCAGAATCTTCTACGTTTGAATAATGAGTGTGTCTATTTGTCGGGCAGCACTCTCGCTCAGGTGCGTGCAACTCCTGAGTTATAGGCTGGTAACCACTGAGCAATTCCCAACTTTAAGACTGACTGCATTTATATGCCAGCTGGATTAATAAATGACATACACCGATCAGCCATGATATTCAAACCTGCCTAATGTCATGTAGGTCCCCCTCGTGCCACCAAAACAGCTCTAGCCCTTCGAGACATGGACTTCAGAAGATGTCTGAAGGTGTTCTGTGGTATCTGGCACCAAGACATTAGCAGGAGATTCTTTAAGTCCTGTTGCTTGTGAGGTGTGGCCTCCGTGTATCGGACTTTTTGTCCTGCACATGCCACAGATGCTCAATCGGATTGAGATCTGGGGAATTTGGAGGCCAAGTCAACACGCTGAACTCTTTTCATGTTCCTCAAACCACTCCTGAACAATTTTTGCAGTGTGGCAGGGCGTATTATCCTGCGGAAAGAGGCCACTGGCATCAGAGAATACTGGTGCCATGAAGGGGTGTACCTGGTCTGCAAGAATGTTTAGGTAGGTTGTACATGTCAAAGTAACATGCACATGAATGCCAGGACCCAAGGCTTCCCAACAGAACATTGCCCAGATCATCACACGGCCTCTACCAGCTTGCCTTCTTCTTATAGCGCATGCTGGTGCCATCTGATACACATGCATCTGATCCTCCACATGATTTAAAGAAAATGTGACTCATCAGATCAGGCCACCTTTTTCCATTGCTTCATGGTCCAGTTCTGATGCTCACATGCCCATTGTAAAGGAGGTTGTTACAGTAGCTCTCCTATGGGATCAGACCAGATGGGCAAAGCTTTACTCCCCAGATGCATCAGTAAGCCTTGGGCACCCATAATCTCATCACTGGTTCACTGGTTGGCCTTCCTTGAACCACTTTTGCTAGGTCCTGAACACCGCATACTAGGAACACCCCACAAGACCAGCCATTTTGGAGATCCTCTGACCCAGTCATCTAGCCATCACAATTTGGCCCAGATCCTTACGGTTGCTTATTTTTCCGGTTTCCAACACATCAACTTCAAGAACTGACTGTTCATATGCCAATTACAGGTGCCACTGTAATGAGACAGTCAATGTTATTCACTTCACCTCTCAGTGGTTTTAATATTATAGCCGATCGGTGTATACCTAAATAGAATGGGATTCAGAAATTACTTCAAAATACACTCAACTGCTTAATAATATATTAATATTACTATATTAAACTGGCATATACTGTAAGATCTCAAAAAACTATCTGTTCATGTCAAGTAATTCTACTCTGCTTGTCATTATCAGCTATATAACCTCTGGCCAAGGCTATTTGACTATTTACCTGGACCTCACCAAACAATATTCTCCAACTATGACCAAATAACCACTGTCCTGAAAGAGGAAATAGCCAAACATAAGAAGGACTGGGACCCGTCTGATCCACGTGACTTTATCGATGCTTATTTTGGTGAGATGGATAAGGTAAAGCCGACAGCACCATCCTCATGAACTGTCTGCAGCAGCCACCACCTGCCCAGCAGTAACTGATATGGCACAATGTATATATAAAGCATGGAAGCTGACTTTGGCAGCAGTAGAGATGTTAAACTGAGATTCTCACACCATTCCCATTCCTCTCTACCACACACCCAAGATGGCAGCTGATTCTGAAGCTGGGTTCACCACCAAGTCTCTGGTAATCTGCACTCTGGACCTGTTCGAGGCTGGGACAGAGTCTGCTGCCACCACGCTGCGCTGGTGCCTCGTCTATATGATGAAGTATCCAGAAATTCAGAGTAGGCCACAGGAAATTACACTTTTTTTAGAGCATTGGTATTTACACCAGAAGTCAGAGGTAAAGGGCAACTGCTCAGAGCAGTCTTCCAGGGTAAAAAAAATATTATTTTTTTCATTATTTTTAATTTTGTTAATTATACTGTTTTGCTAACAACTCAGCACTGATCTGATATCCACATAACTAATATCTTTGTGTATAACACAAAAGAGGAGTAAAATGATTGATATATCCAGAGGCTCTGTTCTCTTTGGGTTTACTGTCTGCTAAAAATGGCGCTCAACTGATTTTGTTTAACAACATTTTAAACCTAAAGTTGCCATCTGTGATCTTGTATTGCAGGGAAAAAAATGCTGTCATAAGAACATAAGAACATAAGAACTATACAAACGAGAGGAGGCCATTCGGCCCATCGAGCTCGCTTGGGGAGAACTTAACTAATAGCTCAGAGTTGTTAAAATCTTATCTAGCTCTGATTTAAAGGAACCCATGGATTCAGCTTGCACTACGTTATCAGGAAGACTATTCCATACTCTGACTACACGCTGTGTAAAGAAGTGCTTCCTTAAATCCAGTTTGAAATGTTCTCCCGCTAATTTCCCCCCCCCCCTGCCTCCCACACGCATTTTATCATTGCTATCCACCTCACCGTCAACCCACGGGCCACTGACCATGTTAATAGACTTCTTGGGATTTCTTGGGATTTACCAGATATCTCAATTAATTTCCACATAATTGGTACTTAGAGTATTATAAGATATGTACTTAAAATAAGTATTATGCTCAAAAGCCGACATTTCAGTTTCTCTGGGCTGTAGTTTTTCCTGATATATTCAATCACCTCTGATGCATAAGTGACCTATAAGGTGCATCACTGCTGTTCTGCTTATGCACAGAGAAAGTCCAGGCTGAGATTGACAGAGTGATCGGACAGGCGCGGCAGCCCTGCATGGCAGACCTGCCAAACATGCCGTACACCGACGCCGTCATCCACGAGACGCAGAGGTTCTCTGACATCTTGCCTCTGGGATTCCCCAAAATGACCAGCAATGACAGCACACTGGGGGGGTACTTCATACCAAAGGTAAGACAGAAACCGAACAAAAACTGCATCTAATTCTTGAAACTGCATGTAAAATGTCACCACAGGCAGCTGTCATGATGAACCATGAATCCTGCATATGGACTATGTGCTTCATGAAAATGTTACACCAACGGCAGTACAGAAGATGTGTGATCTTTGCATGAGTGCATTCCTGACAGACGGTTGCTGTTCCCCCCTGTAGGGGACGAGCATAACCGCGATCATTACCTCTGTACTGAATGATCAGAGCGAGTGGGAGACTCCGAACACCTTTAACCCGGGGCATTTCCTGGATTCCCAGGGCCGGTTTCGGAGACGGGACGCATTCTATCCTTTTTCAGCTGGTAACTCACTTCCTTTCCACTTATTAAACAAGAGGTCTAAGCCTAAACAAAGAAACACTGTTTCCAGTTAATGGTCTCGTGTGGTTGTCATGCTTTCCCCAGGACTAAGGGCGTGTCTGGGGGAGCAGCTGGCTCGGATGGAGCTCTTCCTGTTTTTCACCTTCCTTCTCCAGCGCTTCACCCTCTCTCCACCCCCTGGAGAAGAAGTTGACATAGATCCATTGCTTGGGTTCACCTATTTCCCAAAGCCCTACAAGATGTGTGCTATGCCTCGCTGAGCTTCTACACAGGGATAAACAGCACCAGGCTATCGGAAGCACATTAACACACACCTGCGTAGATCCTCCAAAAAACTTTTAAAACATCATTAATGACAATAGCTATTAAATTTGTTTGTACTGTATGCTAGCTAGTCAACTAAAACCTATTTATTCATCTTTGGGATGTATGATATGCCCTCTATGTAAAATCATATAGTATTATTACACGCTATATCAAATAAGTTTATCACAAGCTGCATTTGAAAGACCTAAACATTTCTGGATAGACTGAAAGATCTGAACATGCATTCTGTAATGCATTCTGTGCAAACTTTAAAAGCAAACCCTTCACCGCCAAATTTCAAAAGCTTGATATTCACTGAGAAGTGAATTAGTGTCACATTTTGTGGAAGCGCAAGGTGCCCTGCTTACTTACACTATATTCATCACTTGTAAAGGGTATGTTTACTCTGCATGACAGAGAGGCTGGGTCTCCTTCATCCATTCAGACCATGTGTTTATATGCTGTTCCGCTGGTTTAGCCTTCATCCCATGAGTGTGCCAATGAATTTATCCATTACATCCTTTGAAATCTCCAGATTCTGTGTATCTGTTCACTTATCTAATGCTCACAAGTTATCCGATGCTCACAAGTTATCTGATGCTCACAGGTTCTTAATATCACACCACCAGGAAGTTCAGGCGGAGATCATAGAAGTTCACGGGTGGAGACATGATGTAGGGGCACCATTAGGCAGGTGGTCTTAATATTATGGCTGATCGGTGTTTGTCATTTATTAATCCAGCTGGCATATAAATGCAGTCAGTCTTCGACAATAACTATCCTGCCAACTACAGCTAGAAACAGCTTAAATTACACAAGCCCATATCTTTACTGCTTGCCAGTCATTAGCATCCCCCCTCCCCCATGGGACACCACCCCTGCTAATTTACACAAAACACTATGAATGGCAAATGGGTGAATAAACACATTTGACATTGACAAACATCATGCACATCCACAGGTCTTTCATGCAATATCCTCCTGAGACCCAAGGAAAATAGTGTCCTTCAATTTTAGGTTATTTGTCTTTGGAGGAAATAAGACATCTTTCAATTTAGATTTTTTCAAATTTATTTTTATTTTTAATTTCACAGTATGTCCTCTTTAGTGTACAACAGGAATAAATATGTTTCCTTACATCAGTGAAAAGATAGATGCAAAAACAAAATGTCCACTACAATGGACATAAATGAATGGGTGGGGTCTCAGGAGGATATAAAAAGTAATTCAAGAGCAAATAATTGCTATATTGTATAATGAGGAAATGTCCAGCTCTCATATAATTAGTAGTAAAAGCCTAGGAAACATAGGAAATATTTAGAGGGGAATTAGCTTCCTACAAGAGGTACTCTATAAACTGCATGGTGTAGAGAAAGCAGAGGGCTGTCAATCGATTCATTTTCTTAATCGCAGTTAATGGCACAAACTGAACGATGAATTGTATATTCAATCACAGTATAATTTGTTAAAGATACAATATGACTATGTGGTATGCATATGTCAAGACATTTTAGACAATTCTATGCTTCCAACTTTGTGGGAATTATTTGGGGAAGGCCCTTTTCTGTTCTAGCATGACCTGCCTCAGTGCACAGAGCAAGGTCCGTAAAGACATTCCTGAGTTTGTTGTGGAAGATCTTGACTAGTCTGCACAAAGCATTGATCACAACCTCATCAAACACCTTTGGGATGAACTAGAATGGAGATTGAGACCCAGTCCAATATCAATGCCTGACCTCATGCACACAAATATTCTTCTGGATGAATGGGGCAAAATTCCCATAGACACACTCCAGAATCTTGTGGAAAGCCTTCCCAGAAGAGAGGAAGCTGTTATTGCTGTTATCTCCATATTGATGCTTATGGATTTAGAATGTGATGTCATAAAAGTCCCTGTAGGGAATGGCCTGGTGTCCCAATACTTTAGTTCATATATTGTAGCAATATGCCAACAATGTATCTGACTGCACCTCATTTTAAGGCCCAGGGGCACCCAGATGGGTGCAAGAACTTTTGCTATTTAAACGAGGTGGATGCTGGTCAGGGAAGTGACAACTGCGTCGGGCTCATGCTACCAAAGACACTTGTGTTGCGCCTGGAGCTGTTTTGCGCCGGATGCCAAATAGGGCCCTAAAGCACTTTGAAGGTCGAGCCATTTAACAAACGAGAGCACAGAGGTTGCATTCATTACATATGGTAAAGATGGATCTTCAGGAGAAGGAAGGACTCAAAAGTTTGGTGTCGATCCTGTAATTTGAGCATATTGCTGATGTATTGCACCACCTGCTGTAGTGCACTGTACACTGCTTCTGATCGCTAAAATAAAAAGTATTTCTAATGACTCTTTGGTGACATCATCCTTTTACAATGGAGAGCAACACTACTGTAACATAGTCAAGGATAATCACGTGTTTTGGCAACACGTGATTGGAATCCCATCCAGGCTGTATACCCATCTTGTGTCTCAGTCTTCAGTGACCTAAGAATAAGAATCCTTGTAGTTCTGCATCTGAATAATCTTTGTACTTTGATAGATAACTAATACATTTTAAGGTTTGTGAAACTTTATTCTTTACTTCCCATATATGAAGTTTTTTTGTTTTTGTATGCAAAACATAAAAGATCCCACATAATCACATTAGATACTTTTACACACTATATATTTGAATGGAATTACATTTCTTAACCCTTTTAAATGTTTATAAGAATGTGACATGATTGTATTTTATTTCACACATTATAATACTCATTTTTATCATGAATCAAAGTTTCAGAAAGACTCACCATTGATGGGTCATAAAACAGTCAAGCAGCAAATATATTTTATACCAGTGGGTTATGAGATGTTAACAGTTCACCTTTGGTGGTGGAGAACTTTAGTCTTAATGGGTCAGAAGTCCTCATCATAGGTTATATAAGCATTTATCATTCTACTGCTGGATAATATTCAAACTAGAAGAACTATTAGAACTATAGAACCTATTGAGTCTATAGGCATGGACTGCTTAGGTGTTTATATCAACATGTATGCGAACCATGACACTGTTGACAGGTGGTGTGACCTTGAGGCATCAGCATGTTTGATTTCTGTTTGTATGCCACCAACAGCACAGTATGTCAGAGGAGTGAAAGACACGGACATTATTTCATTGGTAAAAAGTGCAGAGATATATACAACATCAAAGGTAAGTAAGTAAGTAAAATATATTTATAAAGCACTTTTCACAGACACAAGTCACAAAGTGCTGTACAAGAAATGTAACAATAAAGATAAGCATACCAAACACAGTATGAAAAAACATGAGATAATAGAAACACTTGAAAAATATATTAGAGAATAAAGCCCAAATAGCGTTAACTCAGCTCTATTCAAAGACCTTCTTAAAGAAGAAAGTCTTAAGATGTATTTTAAAGGAGTCAACTGACTCAGCAGAGCGCAAAGCTAGTGGAATTGGGGTCTGATACGCAGAGGTTTGGCAACACTGACGTTTCACGCCTTCAGGGCTGGGGGCTTCAGTTCAGTTAGATGAAATGGCATCTCTAAACTGGCCATAGTGTTTATGTGCCCTGTGATGGACCTGCATCCCATCCTACGTGTCTGGCTTGTGGGAGAGGCTCCAAGCTTACTGTGACCCTGTAGTGGTTTCAAGTATAAAACAGAGGCAGGTGAGGGGGTGCAGAAATAGAGTGCACCAATTAAACCACAATGCTGGAAAAAAACACAAGTCTCCAAGGAACTAGCTGTTTTGATAGGGAATAAATGAGGGCAGAGCTAAGGGTCGCCTAGCAGCCGGTGGTTGGTGAGCTAACAGCGCAGGTCTTACAAAACGCAGTAGGTTAAATAGTTACTATTAGGTAGAAAGAACCAGTGGTGATTGATATGTCCATGTGACTCTTGCGTAAGAGAAATTTGATCATTAACAAGGACGTTTTTACTCCATACGGTGCTTTCGAGGGCCCTGCAGCTCCAGACTCTCCCTCCACACCCTTCCAACCATGATTCTTCAAGCAGTCTTGGACTGTCTGGATTTCTGGAGCATTCTGCTCTTCGTCTTTATCTTCCTGTTGATGGCTGATATCCTGAAAAACAGGAATCCACCAAATTATCCACCAGGACCTTGGTCCCTGCCCTTTTTGGGAAACATCTTTACGGATCTTGAATCAAAGACAATGATGAAGGTAAAAATCTGTATTAAATCGCGCATATAAATATCTATAGTGTACATGTTAGTAGTACTGTATTATGATGGTGGGACATGGTAAAGGGAAGGAAGATCTATGGAGTTGCTCCAACAAAAGGGGTTTATTCACATACAGTACAAAACTCAAACAGAAAAAAGAAAACAAAGGAACCACAGGGGGTCAAAACCAAAACAGGAAAATACTACAAACTAATTAATTACAAAGACAACAAACCCTGGAACTACAACTAGACTGGGAGCAATACCAGGAACAACAAAAACACAGATAAGTAGGAGCACAGGGAAGAGCACAGCTACAAACACCAGAACAACTACAATGATAGACTAAGGAACAAAATGAGGTCAGGCACTTTAATCTTCATAGGTAAAATGGACAAAAAAGGAGCACAGGTGTGGAGCGTAACCAAAAACAACCAATAAGCAAAAGCATTAGACAAGAAGCAACAGGTGGAGTAAATTACACTTGACAACTAGGAAACATTTAACAAACACTGAACAGCAACAACACTAGGAGAGACTAGGAACTATATACAAGCAGAACATAATTAAAGAAGGCATAAGCAGGTTAGACCAAAAACAGGGACCAAAGCAAAGACATATAAAACAATACCAAACACTGAGGAAAAAATAAAAGCGATTCACATTAATGTCATGACTGGAGGGGTTCAGCATGGCAGCTTGGGGAGCAGGGAAACACACTTGGGACAGAGGGACTACCAGATAGGGAGGGGAGAAACAGGATGGCCAGCAACACCTGCTGGCCACATGGGAACAAGACACAAGGTTGGATGGGCATCGACCCTGCCAAGAATTTTTGCTGGAGTGTATCCCATTTTATACCAATTCAGTTTTACGCTGAATAAATTATTACACTGTCTACTTTGTTTCAGGCCACGTTTCATTGGGGCAAAAACAGCAGATAGCATCTTACACTGTAAAACTGTGTCATTGGTATATACAGTGGTACCTCGGTTCTCGAACTCACTAGAACTCAAATTTCTTGAAAGTCGAACAAACCAGTTTGACCTAGAACTCGATCTGAATATCAGAAATCGAACCGTGAACGCTGACCTAATATAAATTGTACGCGCCAGGAAATGAGTCATACTACAATGCAATTCTTACTTGAATGCCTTCTTCACAGACTGGACGATTAACCAAATAAAGCAGCGCAACATTACCGTAACTAACAATAAATAAACCACTAACTTACGTGTACTATTAGAGCATTTATGTCATTAATTTAAACTTTATTTTACCAGGTAAATTAACTGAAAACCAGTTCTCACTGCTTTACGTGATATTCGGGAGAAATAGCAGATTACGCATCGGAACTGCCTGGGATACAAACGTCATGCGTGTAACTAAACTCTTCAGCCAATAAGGTCAAAGGTGTGTCGTCACGGAGGCGGTTCCAGTTTGTGCAGCCAGGTGAGAGGTCACAATGCATCTAACCGTAATGCATTGCGTCAGGATCGGAATGCGTTGCTTTAAGCCAGCGCTGTAAGCAAGTCGAACGCACCCAATGACCGGACTGGGGAAACAAACTGAAACGCGGACTTAATAGGACTAATGACAACAACCAGAAACAGCTGATCACATGGGGATCCCACAGAGGTTAATGAGGGGGCATGGCGGACTATCGGGGCAGGACAGGGGTAATGTTGGGATAAGATCTTTATTGTTTTGGAAGCCATTAACAAAAAAATGCTCTTCTTGCTTTATCCTGTTCATTTTGTGTTTAAATGCTAAAAAAAAAAAAAAGCATATTTTAATTTTGGGGGGCCGGGAACCAATTAATTGGTTTTCCATTATTCCTTATGGGAAAAATTCGATCAGAACTCGAACTTTTTAGGATTAGATCCAGAGTCCCATCCGGAGAACCGAGGTACCACTGTGTGTGTGTGTGTGTGTGTGTGTGTATATATATATATATATAATATATAAATTGTCTCTTCACTTCTTCAAACCTGATGCTCTGCATGCAGTATATATATATTTGTCTTATTTATTGTTTCAGCTTGCTGAAAAATATGGCAATGTTTTCAGTCTGAGGAAAGGCAGCGAAAAAATGGTGTTTGTAACTGGATATAAAATGATGAAAGAAGCCTTGGTTACTCAGGGACAAAATCTCGTCGATCGTCCAGATATCCCGCTTTTTAATAAAGTTTTTAAAGGAATTGGTAAGTATATGTGGAATCCGAATGTCATACTGTTTAATTATGTGCATAATGATAATCCAGGCATGTATGTACACTGCTCAAAAAAATGAAAGGAACACCTTTTAATCACCTTTTAATCAAAGTCAATTAAACTAATGGGATATTGATCTGGTCAGTTAAGTAGCAGGGGGGTTGTTAATCAGTTTCAGCTGCTTTGGTGTTAATGAAATTACTTGTTCACACACTGGTCACAACACGCATTGATTATTGTAATTCTCTTCTATTTGGTTTGGCTTTAAAATCCCTACACAAACTTTAATTGGTCCAGAACTCAGCTGCCAGGATCATTACTAGAACTCCTTCTACAACTCATATTACTCCTGTTCTACAGGAACTTCACTGGCTTCCCATTACATATCGCATTCATTTTAAAATTCTGCTCCTGACTTTTAAGGCTATCCATGACCTTGCTCCATCTTATTTGTCGGATCTTATTCAAATCAATCGACCATCTCGTTCCCTCAGATCCTCCTCATCTCTCCATCTTACAGTTCCACATACTCGTCTGACTACAATAGGTGGTAGAGCTTTTAGTTATTCTGCAGCCTATCTGTGGAACTCGCTTCCACCGGACATTCGCAAGATTAATTCCATTAGCATGTTTAAATCACGTTTAAAAACTCACTTGTATAAGCTGGCATATGCAGTTTAATCTTTATCTTATATTTTTGTGCATTTTATGGGTAATTTTGTGTATTTATATTTTATTATGTTTTTTATTTATGTATTTGTGATTTGTTGTGTTAAGTGACCTTGGGTGTTTTGAAAGGCGCTGAAAATAAAATGTATTATTATTATTTATTATTAACAGGTGCACTAGAGAGGCAAAAAATACGATGACCACCAAAACAGGAATGGTTAACAGATGGAGGCTACTGACATTTTTCCTTCCTCATCTTTTCTGACTGTTTTTTCACTAGTTTTGCATTTGGCTACGGTCAGTGTCACTACTGGTAGCATGAGGCGATACCTGGACCCTACAGAGGTTGCACAGGCAGTCCAACTCCTCCGGGATGGCGCATGAATACGTGCCATTGCCAGAATGTTTGCTGTGTCTCCCAGCACAGTCTCAATCATAATCATTAAACACTAATCATACATTGTACATAATGACATATGAAGTAAGATGCAATAGTATAAAATGATATCAGTTACCATCCTTATTTTACTCTTTAAACAGGTGCTATATTTGCATATTATTAACTTCTGTTGTCCTTCTCTGTATGTTTTCCTGCTAAAGGCTTGATTAGTAGCAACGGACACATGTGGAAGAAGCACAGGAGGTTTGCTGGGACCCACTTTAAGAACTTTGGGGAAGGAAAGAAGACGATGGAGCTGTTCATCCAGCAGGAGTGTGTGTTCCTCTGTCAGGCCATGGAGGACGAGCAGGGTGATTACAGAAATCCATCCATCCATCCATACATCCATCCATCTATCCATCCATTACTAACGCAGTTACTAACACACTGAGTCTGGAACTTCACCAACGATGGCATGGGATGCTGATCCATCACAGGGCATGCGCACACACACACACACACACAGATACACACACAGGTTTGTAATTATATTTTTGTGGTGACTCTCATTCCCATGAGAAAACTCATGACGACCTTAACCCCTACCCAACCCTAACCTTAACCATAAATAACCAAACAAAAAACAAGCCTTTTAGCTTTTTTACTTGTTTGGTTGCGTTCACAGATATTCATTAATTGGGGTTATCCAAATGGGGACCTGAAAAATGTCCCCCAAAATAAGGAAGTTTCAGGTTTTACCAAAGTTAGGAGACATTCTGGTCAGTGTGTAAGTATAACCCTGGTCCTCCACTTCCTTCAATACAAAACTGACTGTGCTTCTGTCCACGCTTGAAGTGGTGAATAACATGGCCTCCGACAAGAAATGTGTCCCATCAATTATATGTTCTTGCTAATTGTTTTCATATGCTGTATGCTAATTTTTCTCTGTTCTTTCCATAGTTGCATGATTTAAGTTATGTATGTGTGTGTTTTGTCTTTTGTAACTTTTAAGGCGGATACTTTAACCCAATGGTGATGCTACACAATGCCGTCTCCAATGTGATATGTACTCTGGTTTTTGGGCATCGCTACGACTACAGTGATGCCAAGTTCCAAAATCTTCTACGCTTGGATAACGAGTGTATTTACTTGTGCAGCTCAGCTCGTGTTCAGGTGCGTGCAGCAATTCTCAGCTTTGAGACTGATGCCATTTATTTGCTAGTTGAACTAATAAATGGAATGGATTCACCAAATGCTTCAACGTATCCTCGTATCATCAGTTGCTTAATTCTATATTAAACTGGCATATAAGATCTCAAAAAAAAATCTGTTCATGTCAAGTAATTCTACTCTGCTTGTCATTATCAGCTATATAACCTCTGGCCAAGGTTATTTGACTATTTACCTGGACCTCACCAAACAATATTCTCCAACTATGACCAAATAACCACCTTCCTGAAAGAAGAAATAGCCAAACATAAGAAGGACTGGGACCCGTCTGATCCACGTGACTTTATCGATGCTTATTTTGGTGAGATGGATAAGGTAAAGCCAACAGCACCATCCTCATGAACTGTCTGCAGCAGCCACCACCTGCCCAGCAGTAACTGATATGGCACAATGTATATATAAAGCATGGAAGCTGACTTTGGCAGCAGTAGAGATGTTAAACTGAGATTCTCACACTATTCCCATTCCTCTCTACCACACATCCAAGATGGCAGCTGATTCTGAAGCTGGGTTCACCACCGAGTCTCTGTTAATCTCCACTCTGGACCTGTTCGAGGCGGGGACAGAGTCTTCTGCCACCACGCTGCGCTGGGGCCTCCTCTTCATGATGAAGTATCCAGAAATTCAGAGTAGGCCACAGGAAATGACACGTTTTCCTTCAGGGCATCGGTTTTTACACCAGACGTCAGGGATTCAGAGCAGTAGATTGTCAGCAGTCTTTGATTTTAGAACATACAGGTTACTGGTCTTCTAGGCAAGAAACATTTGACATTTTTATTTTGTGAATTAGGAAAATAGTTTAAGAACTGATCTGATATCCACATAACTCATATTCTTGTACCTAACAAAAATACAGGAGAAAACATGATGCCACATAATTAGTACTTAAAGTATTATAAGATATGTACTTAAAATAAGTATTATGCTCAAAAGCTGACATTTCAGTTTCTCTGGGCTGTAGTTTTTCCTGCTATATTCAATCACCTCTGATGCATAAGTGACCTATAAGGTGCATCACTGCTGTTCTGCTTATGCACAGAGAAAGTCCAGGCTGAGATTGACAGAGTGAT